TCCCTTGATGAGTTGTGCCAATGTTGGACGAATTAATGCCTGTTTAAGATGCGTTTTGATTGATTTGTATTTATCTTAGATTGATAATTTCAAAAAAAAGTTTAAATAAAAGAATTGTAAACTTGGAGTTGTTCTTCTTACACCTAGAATGTTTCTACAGAATTGCAAGTGTATCTTTTCCAAAATGTAGGTGTTCTCTAAACCCCAGACCGCACATTCCTAGATAAAAACTGGAAGCCTAATTACTAGGTAAACAAACAGTCCTATGTTACTATAAACAGCCTAAGCTGTAAATCTATTGCTAAAAACAATTCCGCGATTATCTGTAAAGATCAAATTACGTCTTTGTTGCATGGTAAGCTGTAAATTTGTTTCGCTTTTACACAAGAACCATTCAGTGTGTTAGGATGAGTCTAATTGACGTATACTTATTTCCGATTTCATTCATATAAGCTTACTTTGTTTGTTTTAATAAATAATATAACCGTTTTATTTGATTTGACAGAACATGTTTTCACTTTGTATCTGAAGCTGTGTTTTGAGCAGATCTTATTTAACAACATCATCAGCGCAAGACACCAACCTGTGCAATGTCTTATATAAAGTTCTGTTTAAATCGCCATAAAAACACTATAAAATGTACAAATCGTATGTTATCATTATAAGTCAACATTTAATTGTACGACTTTGCCCCTTAGCAGAGCTATAGAAAAACAGTACAATAACGGGTGTTACACGGACACTTTTTATGAATAGAGTCACTCGTGCATTCAGTGAGTTCATCATGTTTATAGGCACTTTATCGTGTACATACCTTGTGACCTAATTACCTTGTTTTATAAATATAATTTATATGAAAAGTGTGCATAAAAATTATAGTTATAAAAAAGCTAACTATGTCCCAAAATGCTGAAATTAAATAAAATGTTTGACTGCAAGAATAACTGCAACCATAAAATGTTTCCATGTACAAGCCTCTCGTGGATTTGCTTAGCAGTTTTAAAAGGTTTATGACCCCTTCTATAGCCATGTGAATTACGAAATTTTCAAAGTGCAATACCATCAACACAGCAACGATAATGAATAAAAGAGATGTGCCATTTTGTACATATACCAAAGGGAAACTTCGTTCAAAGCAATATTATTTATTGTTTTATTGCATTTAATAGAAAATTGGGATTTTGTAGCAAATAACTCCAAGATTGTTGCAGAAAATCCACAGACTTTAATACAGAGATTTTCGTTATAAAATGTTAAACATAGATTACTCACTGGTTTGTCCATGATGTGCTATCAGATTATTACATGGCATTTTTCATATCAGATGTATTATCAGCCCAAGGTTCAAAGGCGAAGGCTCGAGGTCTGATATTGACCGAGGGCTGATAAAACATCTGATATGAAAAATTACATGTTATGATCATTTTATCATATGCTTCAACAATGGAGACAAATAACAGTTTAATATGTTGGTTCTCAAGTAGAAGTTCAATAAGTGAAAAGTTTACGGACGCTGACGCAAAATGTAATACTTCCGATATGAAATCTTTCTATCATATGCCTCAAAAGAGGAGAAAAACAACAGTGTAATATATTCTTATATTCACGATAAAAAAATTTAAAAAAACACAATGAACACTGTTTGGAAAAGTCAACATTTGTAAAGTAACTTGCTAAATTATGCTGTAAACTTTGAAAAATGCATTTATTGTATCATTTATTTTGCATTTTAAATAATATATTTTCCTGTTTCCTAATATTTGTTTTGTATCCTACTTTGTTATGTTTTTCACTGAAAACGTACCATTGAGATGTATTTTCCGGAATTTGACGAGTAAAGCCGGAGTGCCATGCGATAACGTTACGAAAAGGCATGCGATAATAGCCGGAAGCAGTTGATAATTTTTCATATCAGCCCGCTAAGCATCATTTCGGAAAATATGGAACTCACGTAAATTTAATGCTATTATCATACTGTAAAAATTATAAATGAATTACTCTTAGTATATGATAACAGCGTTTATTGTTTACAAAAAATCCTAAACAACCTTTACATTCCAAAAAACCTCGTGCCGAGTCACTGAAGTCGAGCGCACCCTAGAAGGTGTACTTGAATTGGTTCATATTTATATTTGTTTTAACCAATATCTTAATTTAAAAACTTGTTTTAATTAAATCATTGTTAGCGCTGCATGCAATAATCGTATCAAGCACCAAATTGTCAAATATTAGAGTACAAGGGGAAAGGCTGTGGATTTTCTATAAATTTTTCATATGTTTTGCATTGAAACAACAAATGGTACATAATCCTCAAGCTGAAATCTTTCAAAACGTCTAAATCGAATTAAACGGAGGATTTTTCCCCTTTCCTCTTCATGTTCAAGGAATTTGCTTCAGTCTCAACGTCAAAAAAACTACCACCCATTTCGGATATAGGGATGGAATTGAAAAAATAAAGTGTGTCACGTGATCGATACTCCGGTCTACTCGAATACCACATAATTGTTATGAGCATGAAAATTAACACACACAAAAAATGATTTCCAAAATAAGTGGATAAAAAAATCTAATACGAGACAAAATCAAGGTTTTTTCATTACATGTCATTCCCCATTAAAAAAGAGAAACAGCCTTTTTTATATTTATATATTTTGTTCTTCATTTTATTAATTTTTACAAAATTTATACATGTTGTATTACGTTTGTCAGATTACGCTTTCTTATTTCATTTGCATACGTCGATGAATTTTTAAATATCTAAAATACGTCATTCATATTTTGTTGAATATCTTTGTTTTTTAAGGGGTATGAGCCAGGGAAGGGGGAAAATTGCCCCCCCTCCCATTACAAATTGGGAATTGAGGAGAAAAAACCTATTTCTTTGTTTGGCTTTGTTTTTTTGATATTTTTGTGTACGTATTTATTTTATGCTGTTTTCTTTGTGTGGAGAGGTATGCATTAATGCAGGGGCGTAAGAGCCGACATTACACACTTGCAAAGGTGGGAGGTAAAACTAAAAGACCCCCACGTTTGGCAATTTATTTTGTAATTAAAATATAAAGTGCCTACGAAAGAGGACATTAAACTACTTTTTTTGTGTTCAATCTTTTCAATATGCAATCGTATTAAATGCAAAATGTATCACTTTGTAATTAAAAACGTCATACAAGATGCAAAACAAAAGTAACAAAATAAACGGGATGGTAACAACCAGTCGTATAGTGTTTCTGCACGAGCAGTCAGGTCAAGTCCGAGGCGATAGCCGAGGACCTTGACCTGACTACAAGTGCAGAAAAACTATACGGCAACGGTTGTTACCAGCCTGTTTCTCTTTTTGGGTTGCCTTTGTTCTGTATTTAATACGTATTTCCAATTCCATATTTAATCGTTTTCTTTTGACTTGTTGCAGATATTAATTTGTGATAACCATTAAAACTTATAGTCATTTAGCGTATATGCAGCTCGTGACAAACAAAATACAAATGGTATAAAACCTCTCAACAATAAATTTTACAATTTCAGTTCTGTAGACCGTTTTAAAAAAAGTACCTAACCTTTGTTTCTATTACAAATTTGTTTGATACGAAATAGTTTAGAATTTAATGATTTAATTAGACTCACTGAACTGGGAGCAGAATAAAAAAGGAAAAAACCAATTTTCCTCTTTTTTCCCTTCAATTTCTGACAAGTGCAATTAGTGGCTTAATTTGGACCAGAATGTAATAAATTTATTCTATAACCCATGTATTTGAGTAAAAAAGATGAAAAACGAAGACAATTCTTTTATATAAGTATTTATTTGTTACATTTCAAAATAAATTTATACTGAATTCTACACTTAGCTGTACATTTTCAGTCAACTCTCTGTAAAGGATGCAACATAGAATAAATTTATTCTGAATGCATGGTGCTTTTCTGTATTTATGATAACTTATAAAATAAATTTATTTTATAGAGCCTTAATACCTATTATTAGTTCTAGAAATTTTTAAAACAGAATAAGTTTATTCTACATTCAATGTGACGCATGACTATAATAATATATAAAATAAATTTACATGTATTTTGAAAGGAAAGTTATCTGTATGGTGAGGCTGAGAACAGAATAAATTTATTCTACATTCAATGTGATTTATGATTATAATAATATATAAAATAAATTTATTTTGAAAGTCCAGTATTCTATATGGTGAGGCTGAGACACAGAATAAATTTATTCTACACTCTAAGTGATTTAAAATTTATGATTATAATGATATATAAAATAAATTTATTTCGAAAGTAAAGTTATCTGTATGGTGAGGTTAATACACAGAATAAATTTATTCTACATTCAATGTGATTTTTGTTTTATATAAAAATATATAAAATAAATTTATTATGAAAGTACAGTAATCTGCATGGTGAGGCTGAGACACAGAATACATTTATTCTACACTCTAAGTGATTTAAAATTTATGAATATAAAAATATATAAAATAAATTTATTATGAAAGTACAGTAATTACGTTAAGGTTGAGACAAAAAATAAATTTATTCTACACTCACACTATTTCTGGTTATAAAAATATATAAAATGTCTTCAGGTAAAAATACACTGATCTGTAGGACTGTCTACTACATACAATAAATTTATTTTATGTCAGCAGTGCTTTTGATAATATTCAATATGTTCACGTGATACATTTTTTCCATATACAATTCTATCTTTCATGTCTATTTACATGTAACATTCATAAAAATGTATTTTATTTGGAGTTGGGATGTGAATGTTTTTAAAACATAACTTAAGACAAAATATATTTACTGCTATCAACAATGCAAAAGGACACTTCTATAAAATATGGAAATAATAATTTCAGCAGATTTTGTTATGTGGGACTGAATAGCAAGATGAAAGAAATACAGCAATTTTAAAAAACAAAATATCAACATATAAATGTAAAATAAACAGTTTAAAAATAGTAAAAGTTCAACAAGTTCTACTAAAACTGAAAAAATCTGCTTTTTTAGATACATGTCTCCATAGATGAACGTGCTAAAAATTGTCCCTTTTCTTGTTTCTGGATTGGCCTGATCTGAAAGAAATAACGACAAATTTTCAACAATTTCAAATATGAAAAAAAAATGTTTTCCTTTTGAGTATACGATATAAATAAATATATCGAAATAGCTGGTTTGTTAATATTTTTAGTTATCATACCAAAATGTATAATCTATGATGAGGAAACTGTCAAAAAACTTTCTGTCTTTTTTTTTTATCTTAATTATGATGTCTATTTTGTTTATTTTATTATTCACTCTCTTTATTGTAGTTTATAGTCTTGCCTCTGGATACAGCAAGATAACATTCTTAGTATTGGCTGATAAGATGATTTTATAATTGCTAGAGAGAGAACTAATTGAAGCTGTATATATATATATGCGTTATCCCCCCTTTTTTTATTTCATTTGTCCTGAGCAATCAGATACCCTCTAATGTCCAACCCTGGTAGTGGGGCATTATTGTTTTTAGTCTTTGCATCCGTTTGTTCATCCAGCAACCCCATATGAGCTTAATATATTGATTGTTATATGTAATAAACCCCTTGCAGTCAAATCCTTATGTACATTAATTAAAAGTAATGTTAAGGTCAGGGAACAGTAAATGGGTATGATAATACCTTTATCTCTTTTATTTTCAGAAATATAACTGATTGAATTCTTTCAAAATAATTGAACATTTGTATAGGTAGCACATTAAAATCGTCGAAAAACGTTCATAAATGTGTCTTAAAATCTTAAAGTTTTCAATTATGTTATGTATAATATGTTTGAATGTTGCAAAAGTTGATCCAAAAAAAATTTAAACTAAAGTTTAACAGACAGAGTCAAAAAGGCAAAACAAACAATTTGCAATGTTGTTTTAATACACAATAAATCTGAAATATTTTTTTTACTAATCACACTTTTACAATTTAAAAGTAAAAAATATATCAAATTAAAACCTCATTCTTACATACCTATCTTCATCTGCAGAGACACTGTATGGGGTCAGGACTGAATGACAATCTAGTCTTTTTTGCTGGTGTTTCAAAACAATTTTCTCACTCTACAAGAAATATTTGAAGTTTAATGCAGGATCAATTAATCTGTTATTGTTTTTAAGAATAAAGAACAAGCATATTCCTTTATTTTTATCAGTATTGGCATGTATCATTCCCAACTTCCTGAATATGCATGAAATATTTGCCATTGGACATTAAGCCAGTCATAACGAATCAATCAATCAATCATCGAGTCTTAAAATAGATGAATGGTATATGTCATGGTGACAGCGAACTGAAGACACAAATAACAAAAACAGGTTTAATAAAGTCTTAAACACATGACTGGTGTTAAAAATACGTTTACTTACCCCATTTATCATATCAGAAAACAAGTAAGACATGTTTCCAAAGGAACAGCAGCTTCTTCAGGCAAACATGTGAGTAATGTACCAAACACATTTCCCCCTTCAACAAAATCTTCATTTTTCTCTCAAAATGTTAAGGATGCTCCTTAAGCACTCTGAAACAAAAATATATTGAAATTTAGGTACATGTACTTTAATCAACACTTTAAACATTTTATAACCAAAGTAAGAGTGCACATGTCTCGCCTTTGATTTACTTATCATTGAATTCATGTTGAAAGTCTGTAATATGGAGGAGTTACTACAATTATCACATAAACTTAACATTATCAATGAACCAACTATAGTTGTCATATTGCTTATAGAACATGAGAAACAGATCTAACCACAAAATCTAAACATTGATCAATGAACCTTTAAAATGAGGTCAAGGTCATGTAAACACCGACCAACAGACAGGCACCTCACAATTGTTCCATACACTACATATAATTGACCTATTGCTTATAATGCTCGAGAAATTGATCCAACCACACAACTAAAAACTGTCAAATAAACTATGAAAATGAGGTCGAAGTCAATTAAAACCTGCCAGACGGACAAAATAAAATAATTTTCATATAAAACTCTGAAGATAGAGATACCTTTCTAAGAACATTTATTTTTCCATTAACAAAGATTGTGAAATTTAATGTTTTAAAAAAAGTTTACTTACCCCCCCCCCCCCCCCCCCCCCCCCCCCCCCATACCCCCCACCCACCCTTTTTTTTTGATTGGAAAATAAATTAAGTTTAATCCTAAAATTGACAAACTTATTTTTATGGAATAACACCCCTATGCCTTTGAAAAAAAACTGGATCCGCCCCTGAAGATAAGAGTTCATTTGAACAGTGCAGTATATCTGAGGTAGTTAATGCACACCTTTACTGTGCATTATCCAGATTAAAGCACTATAAGAAAAAAGAGAATTTGCCTATGTCATGTGTTAATAATGGTCTATAAGCAGTAAATTTATCTCATGTTTGAACATTTACATTTTGTTAATTCAATTCAACCTTTTACAAATAAAAACATCGTAACCAATGGTTAAAATAACTATGGCTGAAGCCAGTATATATGTTTATACTTATGCTGGACTTACACTATTTTTCTTCCAGAGTTTGATCTTTCACAACATTTAATAATAAATGCTGTGCTTTTCGGTCCGTGCAATATACATTTACATGATATACCGGTATATACTAAAGCCTACAATTTTACTATTTTTCTTCAAGAGAAAAGTCAGACAATGGTATTACTCAATGGTAGTGAAATTTATCATTCCTGCAGGAGGTGCCAAAATAAACTGAGATGAAAAAGAAGTTTGAAAAGCTGCACTCATTTGATAAAGGAAGTGAACTGTATTGATTGACTGATTTAAACTGTTTAATCATAGTTTAACTGTTTAACTCAGAGGACCGTATCAAGTGAAATGCATACATCCGTGTATGAAAATATTAAGATATTAAAATAACCGACTTGCACGTATTTTGTCCCCAGGTCTCATTTTAGGCAAGGAATATGATAATGCAGTGCAACATACGTCCATAGTAAGCGTTACTGCAAATTTAATACTCATGATATAAGAAATATATATAAGATTGAGAATGGAAATGGGGAATATGTCAAAGAGACAACAACCCGACCAAAGAGCAGACAACAGCTGAAGGCCACCAATGGGTCTTCAATGCAACGAGAAAATCCCGCACCTGGAGGTGGTCCTCAGCTGGCCCCTAAATAAAATTGTGTGCTAGTTCAGTGAAAATGGACGTCATACTAAACTCCAAAACATATAAATGAACTAAAATTAAAAAAACATACTGACTAACAAAGGCCAGAGGCTCCTGACTTGGGACAGGCGCAAAAATGCGGCGGGATTAAACATGTTTTGTGAGATCTCAACCCTCCCCCTATACCTCTAGCCAATGTAGAATAAAGAAACATATACATAAAATAAGGAGATGTGGTATGGTTGCCAACAAGACAACTATCCACAAGAGGCAGAAGAGTCCTAATGACGTATATTTAAGTAACAATAGACCACGTACATTTGTACGGCCAGAAAGGAGAAAAATCCATACCGTATAGTAAGCTATCAAAGGACCTGAGAAACTTTTCAAACGAAAATAAACATGGCATTATTTATAACCAAAAAATTAAATGGTTGAACGCTTAATTATCCGCAAATTGTGTCACCTTTTCATCTTTTGAACTCTTCCAGAGTTAAGAAACGATTTTTTTCGTCTGAATGTTTACCTTCTCTAAAACCCCACGGGAGAGGACGTCACTAATGTTGTTAAAACTTGTGTCCAATCTCTTTTGCTACTTTTACAAATAAAATATATTTGAACTAAACTAAAACCCCGCGAAAAAACAAGTATGAACATGATGAATTGGTACGTTCTAAGGGAGCTACCATTTGATTTTCTTTTTGGGGGGGGAGGGGGGGGGGCTAGGATGGAAAATTTTGGCCTGCCTTTTTATTTATCACTCTATTCTGTCCTGCCTTTTTTTTCTTAGTTCATCCTAGCATCACCCCCCCCCCCCCCCCCCCCCCAAAAAAATCAAATGGTAGCTCCCTAAATTCCTACGACATTCATTCATGTAACGAAATTTTCTTTATGTTATAGCTGTTCTTCAAGTTTTGTGCAAAATTTATTATCCATACAATATTACGATAATAGTTATTTGCATGCCTCATTTTAATACATATATATAATACATTATATTTTATGTCTCTGATATGAACTACTGTTATTGTTACATCGTATCGACAAGATCAAGTCAGAACGCATTGGATAGGTAAAAATAAGTTTAAATATAAAGAAGTATTTACTAAATTAAATAAATACACAAACAAATATAGAGAAAAATGAGGTCCATACCTCCTATGAGGGGGGGGGGGGGGGGTCGGAGGGGTCCTGATCACGAAATCCCGGGCTTAAAAACATGAAATCCTGAGGTCCCGAATTTAAAGAAATTTAAATCCCGACATCCCGAAATTCGAAAAAAGAATTCCCGGATCCCGAAAGGATCAATCCCGAAATCCCGAGCTTAAAAACACCCGATCCCGGAGTCCCGATAAAGGTCCGACCCCCCTCTCCTATCGGCTGTGGTCGGGTTTTCATTTTGTGTACCCTAACCAGGCGAAGGTTCTTGAGACCAATTCCATTCTTTCCGAATCGTTGTGATATAATGTTTTAAAATTTGCATAATATAACATTTTATTTTATATTTGTGAAAAATGCACTGTTAACATGGTTTAGTGTGAACATATCCCCCGAGATAACATGTATACGATTTACCATTTAAAATTTCCTGCCGTTGGAATTAATACATTTTTTTAGAAGTATTCGAAAATGCTGTCCATAAAAATTATCAATTTGATATACATTTAGGCATACATTTGAGAAGAAAGATTCGAATGAGGTGTGTCTTCTCAGGGAGGTTTTTTAAGTTCGAAAAGAACATCTGTGGTTTACTAAAACAGTGCATATAATTATATGAAAATTTGTCAACAGCAGACATGAAAGGCTTATGATATCTATGTAAATATATAAATACATAAAATAGATACTTACAGACTTCTGTTATCTCTCCTGATCTGTTCCTGTTCCTGGTGCCGTTACAACCACGACAAGAACAATAAACAAATGGAGTATTGAATATATGCTCCTAATCTTTGAATAATATTTGAAACGGACCTTTCCTCCATGTACTGACAAATTTATTAAGATAGAGTCAAATGCACACGCTGTGGATCTGTTATGTAATTTCCGTCGTTTGTTCGTCATTATCTATCGTGCGAAATTTTACAGTCGGATGTTTATTAGGTTTATATGATGGCCACGGTATGTGGTAATCAAAATATGATATGGCTAATTAGCATAGGATAACTAATCATTTTTGTAGAATGTAAAAAGAATCATAAGATTTCATATTACACTTCTCTTTTTCATTTAGTTCCTACAATTAAAAATCAAGTTTTGAGGTATCCATCTTCTTTCTAAAACATGAAGTTTTTTACTACGTCAATCATCAGAATTTCATGAGACAGCAAACGTTTTGCGTCCTATAAGGAATGAATAAATATTACACTTTCAGTGTACCCTAAAATAGAGGACCACCATGTCTTAGTTTATGTTCTACTAGTAGTATCGAAGTTTTAAACATACCAATTCTTATATTATTTTTTTTTTAAAGCAACATCTCTTTTTCCATAGAAAAACAAAGGATATGGGGTATCAATCCATGACACAAAATCAGTATAAGAACAGCAATAAACAACACACAAAAAGCAACGGAACAGCGCTTTAATTGCTGTATTTAATCTCAAAGTCACATTGAGACCTTCAACACGGAGCAAAAAGGCTCTCACCTCACTGCAAGTGTAAGACGGCCCCTAGCACCAACAAGAGCGAAATATTTTGCAAAAGGAATTTGAATAGAATTCGTAAGATGTTACACCACCAAATTGGGCACGGTCAAAAAGGAAAGTAGCTAGTACATATTTAAAACAAAGTAGTTCTTACGTATAGGTGTAAACATCAAACTATGCAAAACAATTTTTGGTAAGTCATTTAGATATCAAATGAAAGGTAAAGGACTGGTGATCCTTGTAGAATACATTTGACTGATGATTACAAATGATACAAATAGTTATGAATGAATTCTATAAAATTGAGGGCGTAATTACTCATATATGAAGTACCTGGTTTGGTTTGTCCAAAGTTTCGGTATAACCAGTACAGTCTGATGTGTAAATAACGGTATACTGGTTCCCCATATATATTTGCATGTTGATTTTTTTTCGTTGTCGTCTGGAATACCGGAATACTAGTAGAATTAGCTTATTGTTCCCGCTTTCCGTACAAAAGGCAATGGCTGTTCCACGATATTATGTCATTGTTCCGGCCAAACAAATAATGAAGGTTAAGAAAACATATTGGTTTATTGGTAATGAAAGCATTTGAAGACTGGTACGATTGAAGTTAGAATAATGTGTCTTGGCAGAGTAACATGTCTTCCTGAAGAGTTTTTTTTATCTTCTGAATAAACACGTCATCAACCTGGCTCAGCTTGTCTAGTACAAAACATATTAATATCATAATAGATATAAGCAGATGTGGTTTAAGTGCCAATATGCAACTCTCCATCTAAGTCACAATATATGAAAGTAAACCATTATAGGTTGTCGTCTGGATATGTATGTAATAGTTACCACTGGACATTATACATCGTTCTCATCGTCATCCTAATCAATCTTCATATAAACAATTACGCGAGCACCTTACGGTAAAAAGGTACATAAAAAAGTGGTTTATTCCATCAAGGTTATAAATATAATTCGCTAATTTCGTTATCCTCTTATAAAATACAAGCACTATCATGGGTCGGGAATCATTTATCCGGGTTATTGTTTTATATGTAATTTATAAACTAATAAATGGCGAATTAACGTAAAAATTATATGACAGTACCGAAGCACTTACTACAAAGTTGATTATACATGTACCTGCGGGGACTTCAAAAGAGCTTTTTACACAAGACAATGAGGACATTTCACTACGAGCCTATCTACTGGATTTATTGATAATTTTTTTCTATAGTCCTGGATATGCACGTAATTTTAGCCGCTACACGTTCAGCAAACTAAAAAATCGTCTTTTTTGTCTTTAAATGCTGAAAACTCTTTTAGTCGCGGTTTCGTTA